ATGTGTTGGATGATAGTACACGGATGCACAGGCAGAATGCTGTGCATCTCTGAACAGACAGAGGACAGAACTGGCTTCTTTTGCAAGTAAATTGCATGGAAAGCCAAACAAAGAGCTTACCTGTACCTCTGAAGAGGCCCCAAAAATGTCAACAAAATTCAGTGTGTGCATCTTCTTTGAATTCTCATTTAAACAAGTTAACTGCTCCGAAAAAACTGGAGATATGAGCAGTGATACTGGATGATACTAAGTATTTTTTGTCAAAAAATTAGGTGTGATGATGATGTTATGACTATGATTTTTATTGAGGGCCTTTATGTTTGTGCTGAAATATTTATAGGATGTGTGGAATTTACTTGATATAAGATATATGGAATGAACTTCATATATTAAATTTGCTTCAATGTAATCCAGTGATTATGGAGGGGTGGGTTGAAATATGGATATAGCAGATCTACCATGAATTAATCATTGTGGAAGATATGTGATGGGTTATAGGAACTCACATTGCTATTATCTCTACATGAAATGTTAATGCTTGAAATTTTCCACAATATCAGGTAAAAGATAGACAGCTATCTCCCCCCTCCCTGTACTTTCTCCCAATATCTGCTGTTATATTTGAGGGTATCATTACTGTTGAAAGAAAACTATATTCCAGATCTTTCTATACTCTTCCTTTTAAGATCAGTGAAGAAAGGCAGTGCTCACTTAGAATCTAGTTTTCAAAAAAATGAGAGAATGAAAGTAAAAGGTGGTAATCACTTCCCTGGTGGCTCAGCAGTAAAGAACCTGCTTGCCAATGCAAGAGACATGGGGGTTCCATCCCTGGGTCTCCAAGGAAGACCCCTTGGAGGAGGAAATGGCAACCCACTCCAGTGTTCTTGCCTGGGAAAACCCCATGGACAGAGGAACCTGGTGAGCTACACTCCACGGGGTCACAAAGAATCAGACACAACTGAGCGACTAAACCTGAATCACTTTTAGAATCTGCACCACTCTCACTGATACAGTCACAAATCTCTCTTTTCCCATCCCTCTCATCTTGCCTCTCTCCCTCTTTCTCTCTCTTCCTTCCTCTATTGTTTGTGATTTCTTTATTCTTTGCCACTATCCATTTGTAAGTAACAGGGTTTCTGCTAGCAGGAAATAAGTGAGTGATGAACAATTTATGTTGGGAGCCCTTAGATTTCTACTTGAAATACTGAATTTAAAAATTTCCCGCAAAATATAAGAATTTAAATGTAAGTTTGTAAAGCATTCTAGACTAATACTTTTATGTCACACAGGAAAATAAATGCATTATATTTTAAGTTAAATACAGTAAATATATATTTTAATGGGTACATCTTGCCTGATATAATGCATATCTTTCTGAAAATTATGTTTATTATGCTTGGTGAAAACAAATTATACTTTAAGTTACCAAAATGGAAAGTCATTTTTGGAGTTTCCCATGATTTCTTCTAGATATTTTTAGATTAGTTTTTGATCTTTGTTGTTGTAGTTTTTGCAATAAACTTTTATTCTTTGTTGACCCAAAAAAAAGGGACCACCTATTTCTCCAGCCAATTTTATTTTATTTTTTTTTCGGGATCAGCTAAGAATAGAAATTAGGAATCTGCAACCAAGATAAGCCATCTGTAAGTCCTCCCACAGCAGGGGAAGAAGGCTTAAAAGTATGTAGCACTGCAGTTCAGAACATGCTATTTGGTCTCATTTTGTTTGTATTTAATAATGGTTTATTAAAGAAGGTGAAAGTCGTTCAGTCATGTCTGACTCTTTGCAACCCCACGGCGTATAAAGTTCACGGAATTCTCCAGGCCAGAATACTGGAGTGAGTAGCATTTCCCTTCTCCAGGGAATCTTCCCAACCCAGGGGTCAAATCCAGGTCTCCCACATTGCAGGCAAATTGTTTACCAACTAAGCCACAAGGGAAGCCCAAGAATACTGGAATGGGTAGCCTATCCCTTCTCCAGTGGATTTTCCTGACCCAGGAATCGAACCAGGATCTCCTGCATTGTAGGTGAAGTAATATTTAGTAATGTAAACATTATCCAATATGTTATAGAAAATATCATAAGACAACTTTATTTTTTTTTATTTTTTTCCATTTATTTTTATTAATTGGAGGCTAATTATTTTACATCACATAAGACAACTTTAAAATGTGGTGTTCAGGACTGTCTAAACATCTAATAAGATGTTTAAATGTATCTTCCAAATCATTATAAGAGTGATTAGCAAGTAAGCCTCTTCATGGAACAACTTTAGTTATTTTTGTTCAAATTCATGGTTTGTTCATGAATGAGACACAGTTTCAAGGATCAAGTATGATATCAACCCAGTTTGTTGACCACTCACTTGCATTAGCTTAAATCACAATGGTGACTTAACTTGCAAGAGTGGGTACTTTGGAAATTCTGTCCTGAGTTGTACAAGAGTGAAATTTTTATTTGAAACCAAAAGAAGAATGTATAACATGTCCCCCCATAGGAAAATCATATATAAAAAAGAGTAACTTTACAGTATGAAACTACCCAGTTAATTACAAATGAGCAAATTTCATTCCTCTAGCTACCTAAGTCTGAGATTTTTTGAGTTCTAGAATTTTATTGCCCACATTTGCCTCTTAAGACTGATCTAGTCTGATATGATGAAGTTGTAAATAAAAGCCATGTGCTCATTATTAATGAACACTAAAAAAATGTATCTTCCTGGTGCATTTAAATTTTTGTCATTATGAGGTGATCCCTTTTATTTCCTAAGACAAGCTTTCTTTCAGTTAGTATTTACCCATATTTTTATCTCCACTACTTTGAATTTTTCTGTCTAAATCTTAGGTGGTTATTGTTTAGTCACTTAGCTGTGTCTGACTCTTTGCTACCCCACGGACTGTAACCCGCGAGGCTCCTCTGTCCATGGGATTCTCCAAGCAAGAACACTGGAGTTCCATTTTCACTTCTGGGGATCTTCCCAACCCAGGGATCAAACCTGTGTCTCCTGCCTTAGCAGGCGGATTCTTTAACTCTGAGCCACCAGGGAAGTCATTTCTTAGGTTGGGGATTGTCCACTATGTCCCATAGGCCAAAGTTGGTCCACCTCCTATTCTGTAAAGTTTTATGCAGCAAAGTCATTTCCACGTGATCCACTTCTGCTTCCACGTTCCCACAGCCACATTGAATAGGAGCTGTTGTGACCACATGGCTCCTAATGCAACAGATTTTTATATTTGGACCTTTTCAGAAAAACTCTGCTGTCCCCTGCCTGTTGTGGCATGTCTTTGTATTTTAGATTTGAGTAACATTTTCAAGATACAGTATTATATGCAGTCCTGAAAACTCTGACTCTGTTTTTGTCTCCTTCTGTTTCTTGGGATAAATCGAATTCCACTTTTACCATCTCATGTTTCATTTCCTATTTGTCTCAGATTTTTGATATTTCTTTTCCTTCCTGATTTGCCTGTTTTATGAGTTTTTTGTTTGTTTTCTCTCCATTAAGAATTTATTCCTTTCTTGCTTTGAAAGACTGTTTCTCTTTCATGAGTAGAGATTTTAATTTTACACTCTAGAAAATTTTAATTTTACATTCAAGTTAGTGAATGCAAAACAATACTTAACCCTTCTCCTGACACATGCAGAGACATTAGAATACTTAATTCTGATAATCCCCTTCTTCCTTGATAAGTTTATAATGTCCAGTTATTATTAAGGATAAGTATAATTTAAATTTAACTTTGTAGTAGAGAAGTTCTCAGCATAATATTTTGTACAGATGATCTTCAGATTTATCCACATGGTGATCACTCTGTTATCTTTTTTGCTTATTTGTTTTTCTCAAACTTAGGACTTCCTTTTGGGATTAATTCTTTTCTTGTTTGGACTCCTTTTGGAAAGAAAGTTAGATGTTGGTGGTCAATTCAGAGTTTCCATTTTGCTTTTACTTTTATGTGTTTTTATTTCACTCTAGTTCTTGCCAGGCCAGGTTAGCAGGGTACGTCAATTTTTCAATTCAGTTCAGTCACTCAGTCATGTCTGACTCTGTGACCCCACGGACTGCAGCACATCAGGCTTCCCTGTCCATCACCAAATCCTGGAGCTTGCTCAAACTCAAGTCCATTGAGTTGGTGATGCCCTCCAACCATCTCATCCTCTGTCAACCTCTTCTCTTCCTAACTTCAGTCTTTCCCAGCATCAAGGTCTTTTCTAAAGAGTTAGCTCTTCGCATCAGGTGGCCAAAGTATTTGAGTTTCAGCTTCAGTATCAGTCTGTCCAATGAATATTCAGGACTGATCTCCCTTAGGGTGGACTGGGTGAATTTCCTTGCAGTCCAAGGGACTCTCAAGAGTCCTCTCCAGCACCACAGTTCAAAAACATCAATTCTTCAGTGCTCAGCTGTCTTTATAGTCCAACTCTCACATCCATACATGAATACTGGAAAAACCAGGGCTTTGACTAGACAGACCTTTGTTGGCAAAGTAATGTCTCTGCTTTTTAATATGCTGTCTAGGTTGGTCATAACTTTTCTTCCAAATTAATTTTCTTTTCATTTCATGGCTGCAGTCACCACCTGAAGTGATTTTGGAGCCCAAAAAATAAAGTCTGTCCCTGTTTCCCCATCTATTTGCCATGAAGTGATGGGACCAGATGCCATGAACTTAGTTTTCTGAATGTTGAGTTTTAAGCCAACTTTTCACTCTCCTCTTTCACTTTCATCAAGAGGCTCTTTCGTTCTTCTTCACTTTCTGCCAAAAGGGTGGTGCAATCTGCATGTCTGAGGTTATTGATATTTCTCCTGGCAATCTTGATTCTAGCTTGTGCTTCATCCAACCCAGCATTTCTCATGATGTACTCTGCATATAAGTTAAAAAAGCAGAGTGACAGTAAAGAGCTTTGACATACTCCTTTCCCTATTTTGAACCAGTCTGTTGTTCCATGTCCAGTTTTAACTGTTGCTTCCTGACCTGCATACAGATTTCTCAAGGGGCAGATCAGGTGGTCTGCTATTCCCGTCTCTTTAAAAATTTTCCAGGGTTTTGTGGCCCACACAGGCAAAGGTTTTGGCATAGTCAATAAAGCAGAAGCTGTCAAGAAAGAAAGAACAAAAGAAAGAAAGTGAAGTTGCTCAGTCGTGTCCAACTATTTGCAACCCCATGGACTATAGCCTACCAGGCTTCTCCATCCATGGGATTTTCAGGCAAGAATACTGGAGCAGGTTGCCATTTCCTTCTCCAGGGGATCTTCCCAACCCAGGGATCAAACCCAGGTCTCCCGCACTATAGGCAGACGCTTTACCCTCTGAGCCACCAGGGAAGTTAGAAGGTGTCTTAGCTGACACCTATTTTCTTTTCCCCTTCTAGGTTATTTTTATTGTTTCTGAGATGTGCCCTATCAGCTATTGATTCATAACTTATCCTTCCCAGTTACCTACTTTTAAAAGCTTCTCTGCCTCCTTGATGATTTAGCACCGTACTCTGACGTGGTGGTAGTGTAGTCACTCATTGTGTTCAACTCTTTTGTGACCCCATGGACTCCTCGGTCCATGGGATTCTCCAGGCAAGAATACTGGAGTGGGTTGCCATTTCCTTCTCCAGGGGATCTTCCTGACCCAAGGATCAAATCTACATCTCCTGTATTAGCAGGCAAGTATCTTCCACCGCTGAGCGGCTGGGGAAGTCCTGACTCTGATGTAGGTAAGTTTACATTAATTTTTTATTTAGCCTGGCTAGTTATATTGAACTTGCTGTAATGAGAGGCCACTCCTTTATCAATTCTACTCAGTATCTGGACTTGTATTGTTTCTCCATCATATTCTCTAATCCATATTCTTGGAATCTAGATTGAAGGTATTTTGGAACTTTTTATTTAGCTATCATGTATTTCACTTTCCTGTTAAATGTTTAAGTTTTCTCATCTCTCTTTTCCATATTAATTGTGGTCTTCAGACCTAGTTTCCAGTGTACAAATTTCCTCATGATCATTTAACGTCCTGTAGAAAAAACTCCATTACAAAATTTAAAATAATAAAAAATCTATTTTTCTGTTAAAAATTACTTGTCTTTTTGAAAATCAACTTCATGATACTTGCTTTTATAGGGGGGTATGATTTTTCATAGTTCAGTCATGTTATTCTATATTATGTTTCAGATAATTCTAATGTATGAGATCCTTTGGATCTAATATAATTTAACTGTTTGTACTGACTTTCTTTCATGTAGCTTATTTCCTTGTGTCTTAAATATCTTGATCATGAGTTAATACTCTGATCTTAATGTATGGAACTTCCGAAGGGGAGAATTGTTGATTTCTTTTTACAGAGAGAGATTGCCTTGAGGTTATAGCTGTCACTACAAACTTGAGTTGAGAGACCCATGAGAGATCATATTTGGTTCTGCCAAGATTGATGCTTCATTATGGAGTGGAAAATTAAGCTTTTAAACCTGTCTTGAGTTCATGAAGTAGTCTTGGATCTTTGTGAGAATTGGAGCCTTTGCATTCAAAGTTGTGTTCTTTTTTTTTTTTAGATGTATTATTTGGGAAGATAGAGATTTTACTAACTTACTACATACTTTTTGTGAGACCAATAATGTACTGAAAAATATGTTTACTCCAAGATTTAGGTAACGACCATTTCTGCATGTGATCCCCCCACTACTGCTAGAATTGGAAATCTACTCAGGGGTAAGGAATCTGCCTTCAATGCAGGAGACACAGGAGATGTGGTTTCAATCCCTGGGTTGGGAAGATCCTCTGGAGGAGGAAATGACAACCCACTCCAGTATTCTCACTTGAGAAATCCCATTGACAGAGGAGCCTGGTGGGGGCTACAGTCCATGAGATCACAGAGCCGGACACAACTGAGTGAGTAAGCACACACGCCACACATGTGTACACTGTAAAAACCTATATTTTCTTAAATATCAAAGATAAATTAATAGTATCTCTTATTTCTAAGAAGAAATATTCTTATAGTATCTTACTAGCAATTGTGGTTTGTGAATTGTAAGGCCTCTTACCAACTTGAATGCAGTAGAATAGTGTTAAGACAAAGATGTATTGCAATTTGCTGTTATCTGAGATGTAGTTTCCAGTAACCCTGAGAAAGATAAACAGAGAAGGTGGTCAATGATCTGAGCCTGATAAATGCAGTACCTGAGCAATGAAGGTCAACTCCAGAGTTTGTTTCACTTTGAGCTTTTTTCAACTTTAAAAATTGATTATTGACAATGCTTTGTGACCCAGTAGGCAGAGATTTCAAGAAACTGGATAGAGCTGCTGTGTCAACTAGGATGGATTGCTCTTTTATCAGAGAATCCTTTTCTGAATCCATCTTCTTATTTTGGTTAGTTGATCTTTAACATGTATTTAAGGAGCTCATAACAATCTCCCCATCAGTATTTATTCTGATAAAGGTGTTATTTTCTGGGGTGTCACATTTATTTTATTTAAAAGCAATTAGAGTGTCCACTAATATTTCATGTAATTTTCACCTATATATTATCTAAGTTAATTTCAGCCCTGTTGCATATGTAATATCCCTTTGACCAGTAGATTTGTAATACTAATCAAATTGTAGGGTGAAGAATTGTAGGGTGCATGAATTCATAAATCCTAAGTGCTAACTGGATAAGAGTCATCACCTGGATTATGCATAACACTTTGGTTTCTCTGAGACCTTTTTAAAAATAGAATCTGCAGAAGTGACTTACTTGATAGATTTTATACTGTCGCCTCATATAACCTTTCTTTCATTTTTCTGATAGAAGGGTTAATAAACACTGGAGTTGTGGGAAAAAAAATGTCCAGAGCAATTAGAGATCTTATTTCTTGATGGTTGATGTTTCACTTTCTATCACTAGTCTAGGACCCATTTTAGAACTTTATACTTCAAAATTAATGGTTGAAATAAAAACTGATCTTAGTCATTTTATCTGGATGAGTCAAAATAGCAGCTCTTATAATTTTATTGATTAATTTGATTATTAAATTGACTGCTAAAATGGAAGTGAATTACTCTTGTGTTTGAAAAATTAATCCCTTACAGGTGGTTATTTTCTTTTCAGTGTAGATTAGTCAACATAAATGCAAAATCACCCAGAGATACATGACTACTTATTCCCTTTTATGATGTGAGTCATTTTAAATTTTGAGAGAACACTCAACCTGACTGAAGTAGGGTTTGGAAGAAGTAGGTGTGGGACCACATTCGAGCTGGCTTTTGAAAGATACCTCTATGGTTCTCATTGAAGAGTCAGTTTGGGATTAATTCAGGTTTTCGGGTTAGTGCTAATTTACTTAGAAGTTCCTACTTTTTGTGAAGGGTCTCTTCTTTCTGACTTCGCATGGTGCTGTCTGTCTTCAGGAACAAGCGGTCCCAATGGTGGGGTTTTGGGTGGCTCTGATCTCGTCTGTGTGAACCGTAATCTCTTGTGTGCCTGGCTGATCTGATCTGCCTGTTGAGCACCCTACCATGGTGCACAGTGGTATGTCTCCAGTTCAGGGTTCTGTGGATCTGATAACTGTGATTCTTGGCATTCTCTGGAGCTGGGGAACTCGCCTGAACTTAGGTCTCCAGAGTCTCCACTGGGCCCCAGGCCTTCCCTTCCCACCTGTCGCTAAGCATTTCTGGGAAGCTGAGGGCATTATGACCTGTTGTCTAGCCACCACTGTGTAGGATGTAGGATTTGAGGGAGCACCCCTAGAAACTGGCCCGTCCTGGCTACTCGGCCAGGAGGGGTGCCCTGTGTTGGCTGTGGTATCATGTGAGATGTGTTGGGTCACTGACTATCAGAGCTTCCCATAGGACATGATGGGGAAGTGAAACACCAACCCTGGTGTTCTTAGGAGTCCTGCAAATTAGTGTGCATTTTCTATGAGAGATCCTGTTGCCTCTCCCTTCCACAGGCTAGGCTGTGACACAAGGGAGCAGCAGCCCTGGGTTCACAGGGGGGAGCTAGGTGGTGACTCTATACGCCCTCCCTTAGCTACTACCTCTCTGGTCTGCCAGGACGGTGTTCCTGGTGCCAGGACTGTTCTGTTAAGGCTGTCACTCTAACACTTGCGCTCCTGTCTGAGGGGCTAACCTGCACAGATCACCCTTAATAAAAGAAAAGGAAATGTTCAATGAACCAGCAGTCAGAATAGAAAAATGACAGATTATGAACTATTTTTAAAATCTTATTTCTTTTTCTAGTTATACTATTGCTTCTACAGAGTCCACCTATTCCTTTGCTTCATTCTGGCCCTGGTGAAACTCCTCTCCCAGGTGCAGACGGCCTGACAAAGCAATAAGATGCTGGACTCTGGAATCAGACAGAACTGGATGTCAGCACCAACCCTGTCTATTTTAGCACTGTGACCCTCCAAAAGCCATTTGAATGATGTCAGAATGTTACTTCAATGAAAAAATTAATAATTTACTCAATTAATAATTCTGACCTCACGTGTATATTATGAGGATAAAATAAGGTAATGTAATGCTGCCAGTTTCAGCAGTCTGCTGTTTAAATTCTGTGTACTGTGAATCATTGTCACATTGCTATCATTAGTATCTAGTGGATGGTAATTGTGCTAGTAATAGTAGCAGAAAAAGAAAGGAAAAGAGGAGAAAGAGTGGAAAGGGAAAGAAAAGGAAGAGGCAAAGAGAAGAAGGACAAATGGAGAAATAATTTTAATATGACAGAAAATGCATGTTTAAGCTGCTTCTATAGAATCAAGTATTAATTTATAAGAGGAAGTGATAGAACTCCTCTGTTTTACTTCCAAAGTGTTGCTTCTTCTGGATGTATGTATTTAATTGATTGGCCATTATTCTCTTTTATTTTTCACTTCACATCTGATGAGTTTACTTCATAACTTCTTTAAAATGAAAAGATAAAAATAATCATAGAATTTTGTATTTCATTTATTATTCTTTTTAAAGTCATCAAGTCAACACAAGTATATATCTTTTACCTAAGGCTTATGAAAATCATCATCTTCAAAGAGGACCTGCAAATCACAGGATGCAGGTGTCCCATTTTTGCATCACTCAGTCATCAGAAAGTTTACATCCATTGACCTAGAGACTGTCATACAGAGTGAAGTTAGCCAGATAGAGAAAAACAAATATTGTATATTAATGCATGTATGTGGGATCTAGAAAAATGGTGTAGATGATCTTATACGCAAAGCAGAAATAGAAACACAGACATAGCGAGCAAACATTGGACACCAAGGGGGAAATTGTGCAGGGGTGGGAAGAATTGGGAGATTGGGATTGAGACACATACATTATTGATATTATGGGGAAAATAGACAACTAATGAGAACATACTGTATAGTGCAGGGAACTCTCCTCAGGGTTCTGTGGTGACCTAAACAGGAAGGAAATCATAAAAGTCGGGTGTATATGTGTGTGTATATATAGCTAATTCACTTTGTTGTACTACAGAAACTAATACAACATTGTAAAGAAACTATACTCTGGTAAAAAAAAAAATAATAAAAAAAGAGAAAGTTTACATGCATGGGAATTGAGCAGAGTCTATTAACCCAAACCATTGCAATAAAGTTTGAATAATGATACAGAAATAATTACCATGGGCCCTGTGTTGCCTAAAAACATGCGCAGTATGGTGACCTGGGCCCTAAAGAGTCATTATGCTTGTTTAACTGATTATTATTAGTCTGAATCAGACCCATGTTGATTTTGACCAAAAGTGGTTTTCCTTTGACAGCTGTTCAATGTCTTTGTGAAATAATTTGGTTTGTTTAGCTCATTTTTGGACAAAAATTTTCTACATTGCAATGAGATACGTATGCTAATATTTTCCCCAGCTGAAAGTCTAAGTATTTATTATTGTGATGACTGAAGAATGACAATTACAGATATATTTTATGTAGATCATCACTGTGTGTCCATGCATTGGCAATAGTTTCATGACTGGAGATTCATGTGAATGATCTTTCACCTGTGAAATATACAAAAGTGGTTAGTGTATCATTCAGCCTCTAAAATGCATTTTTGTAGGTGAGACCACAGTACTTGTGTATGATATTTAGTCAAGTGTCTCTTCTAACTCCCATTTCCTTCTGACTCTTTAGTTTCTTTTTCTTTTTGACCATATTGTTCAATCACTAAGTCATATCTGACTCTTTCGCAACCCTATCTACTGTAGTCCACCAGGTCCCTCTGTCCATGGAATTTTCCAGGCAAGAATAATAGAGTGAGTTGCCATTCCCTTCTCTAGGGGATTCCCACCCAGGGACTGAACTAGAATCTCCTGCATTACAGGCAGATTCTTTACCAATTGGTCCACCAGGGAAGCCCCTTTTTGACTTAGGTATAAAATAAATATTTTTATTAAAATTTAGTTTCGGTTTCCTTATTGTTCCTGCTAGAGAGCTCCTGTTGATTTCTGTGAATATGGTCTCCATGGTTGGCAATACCCCTGGTAACCTTAGCATAAGACATGGTTGGAGGGTAAGAAGAGGGGAAGCTCTGTAGTCAGCATTTCATCTCTGACTCAATCCCTGTGCTGCCATCAGTAAGATCTTACTAAAATACCAATATAGCTTTGCCACTTATCTGCTTGAAACTCTAAAGGCTCTTGTTGCTTTGGGGAGGGCTTCCCAGGTGGATCAGTGGTAAAGAATCCATCTACCAATGCAGGAGATGCAGGAGACGAAAGTTCCATCCTCGTGTCAGGAAGATCTCCTGGAGAAGGAAATGGCAATGTACTTCAATATTCTTGCCTGGAAAATTCCATGGACAGAGAAGCCTGCTGGGCTACAGTTGATGAGGCCACAGAAAAGTCAGATAGGACTGAGCATACATGCACTCCTACCTATTGTCTTGGAATAAAAGCCAAATCACTGAGCTTATCTTAAAATAATATTTTCCTGTTCAGCCCTGTTTCTTTAGCCTCTTGTTTTGCCAACTCTCTGCCGTAATGTGAGAGACCTAGGTTCAATCCCTGGGGCAGGAAGATCCCTTAGAGAAGGGAATAGCTGCCCACTCCAGGATTCTTGTCTGGGAAATCCTGTAGACAGAGGAGCTTGACAGGCTACAGTCCATGGGATCCCAAAGCTTTGCAAGCGACTGAGCAACTGACAGTTTCACTTTTCTTTTGCCAACTCTGTCCCCACATCCCATTTGTATTAGACTTTCCAGTTCCTCAGATGCATCTGCCACTTCTCACCTTCAAGCCTTGGTGCATGTTCTTCTCTTTGATGTAAACACTTTCTCTGTGTTTGCAAGTGTCTCATTCTGACTCATCCGTTAGGTTTCAGCTGAAACTGTCTTAAGCCTCCGTGATGTTTCTATTCACAGTACATTTCATTAACTCCATCTTATTATGCATTTTTTGGTAATTACTTGGATCATTATCTTCTCTGATAAATTTTAGGCTCCGTGAGAGCAGAGACCTTGTCTATCAATTTTACTGTTATCCTTACTTTTTGCTTATTGTAATACCTAGAAAACACAAGATGATCAAAAGTTTGTTCTCAGTGAATTCATGGATGGATAGATAGATGAATTTAGTAAGAACACTGGGTGAATAATTCACCATCTCCTGAACTCAGTTGCAACTGAACTGACCTTATTAATATTAGTATCTTTTTAAAATCTTGTATCTGTTTAATATTAATCCATTAATTGCTAAGCTCTGAATATTTTGTGAGGCACTGTAATAGGTAATGTAAATTAATTAAGAAATTAATAAACATAAAATCTCATGTAGTTCAGTCTACTTAACAAACCATAGAATATTCAAGTGAGATTTTAAATCAGTTTAAAACATAATAACAACTGCATGCTTGAGTTGGATGCCTTTTAATCATGTGGATACAATGAGATATTATTCTCCACTTTTTTAAACATCTTCATCTTTAAATTGTCATAATTTTCTCTATAAATTTGCCCATGTGGTTTATTTTCTAAGGAAATTCTGTCGAAACAAAATGAAGCAAATTCATCTCTGGTTCTTAGTGGCAAATTCTTGAAGAAGACTGGTGGTTTTTCACTGGAAGGTGTAAGGAGAAAATGTCCTTTTGCTGGTACTCCATAGAAGAAGCTATGTAGGTGTGGCCTTGTTAAATCATGGCTTGATTCCTTCCTCAAGAAAGTCAGCTTGCAAACACTGAGCTGAATGTGAAAATCAAACTTTCCTTTTTAATTGCCTCCAACGTCTATTTCGTTTTCTCTCCTTCGGGAGATGCAGATGAAACTCTTCAAGTCACTTTATGGCTAGAAATTGCTGCATTATTCTCTGCAATTTTAGCTTTCTTTGATCCATATTTTAAGCATTATTTTAATATATGTGAACATTCTATTGCTTTAAATTTATATTGTTTTATATCTTAATTTTATATTATTAAGAAAAGCAGGAAGGATTGACACAAAGAAATAGTTCATTACAAAGCAGTTGAACAAAAAAGAAAAGCCAATGAATGGTCCCTTTTCCAATGTTTGTTTTTGTTTCTTTGTGTTGATAACTCACGTCTGGCTCTTTGTGACCCCGTGGACTGTAGCCCACCAGGCTCCTATGACCATGGGATTTTCCAGGCAAGAATACTGGAAGCGGTTGCCATTTCCTTCTCCTGGGATCTTT